CTGCCTACCTGACGTTTTCACCCATGCATTAGAAAAGCGCCTTATTTTCTTTGTTCTGTTACTATAAAAAGCTTGTGAAAGTTACTACATTGTAACATGGAATTTTGGGTAACTTAAATTTGTGTTATTGGGCCATGGTCACCCATACTTGGCTCCTGAATAAATTATGTTTTCTCCTTTGAAGCACAAACTGTGTTTTTATACATTTACAAGCACTCAGGCCATGAATAGGGCAGGTAAGGGAAGTACAAGTCTAGACTATTAGTTTACTTATACTTATTTTTATTTATGTGGTATTTATGTGGTATTTGTGAGTGTGAATATATATATATATATATATATTTATATATGTCACATGGATGCAGGTGCCCACAGATGCCAAAAGAGGGTAACTGGATCCCCTAGAGATATTACAGGCCTTTGCAAGTTGTTCAGTGTAGATGCTGGGAACTGAACTTGGGTCATCAGAAAGAGGAACAAGCACTCTTAACCACTCAGCCATCTCTGCAGTGCTACAAATTCTGTTTTAAAAGTAAACTTGTTACTTTGTTCACTGTGTTTTTTAAGTTAATTTTGAATTAAAATATAACGCATTAGGGGGCTGGGGAGATGGCTCAGGAATTTAGACCACTTGTTGCTCTTGCAGAGGACTGAGACTGGAGTCCCAACATGGACATAATGGCTCATAACAATCTGTAACTTTAGTTCCAGAGAATCTCATGCCTTCTTTTAATCTCAGTGGGTACCAGGTACATGTGTGGTACACATACATACAAACAGGCAAAACACTCATACACATAAACTTTAATCTAAAAAATGTTGAAATAAAGTTTAAAATAGCATATACCACAGCACTCCTACTCCTAGGTGCATACTCATAACCAAAAGCAAATTCACAACGAATATTTCCACATGATGATTTGTGGGAGCACTATTCACAACAGGTCGAAGGTCCATCGACAATGAATAAACTGTGGTGAACATATACAACAGAATTTTATTGAGCTATAAGGAGGAATGCGACCATTTGGGTAAGCCTTGACAAGATTAAGGTCAGTAAAAGAAACCAGATACAAAAAGTCACACGCGCCATACGGTTTCACTTGTATGAACTACTAGAGTAATAAAATCTATACAAAATGACTGGTAGCTGCTGAAGGGCTAAAGACAACAATCAAAACAAAGCTTCAGGTGGGCTGAGAAACTCTAGGCTGAAAAGCTGACTAAACTGGCAAGGCATAAGGGTCGTTAGGACCCAGGACTTTTCTGATAGGAGGATGAGCATACCAACCTGCTATCTACCACTTGAGACTTCAGGGAACTGATCTTCAGATGGAATCTTCCATCCCCAAAGTCCTCTTTTCTGTACCACATGCACACACAGTCCAAGGAAAGACCGATGTCTTTCAGCTGTTCTGGTTAAAGAATAATTCTTCTTGTGTAGATGTTGGTCTGCACTTTCTTCTATTCCCACGTTGCCTTAATCAATCTGGATCTAACCGTTGCTAGGGAATGAGGAGTTACTACTAACAAGAACAAGGGTTAATTATGGAATCGCTATATTAAACCGAGAGCTGTACAGGATCAGTGAATGCCGCTGTACCATCCACTTTCAAACAGTTCTTTTTGCTATAAAAATGCTAGCCAAGCATGTTTGTGCACACCTTTAAGCCCAGCACTTGAATGGCAAAGGCAGTTGTGAGTTTGAGACCAGCCTGGTCTACAGAGTGAGTTTCAGGACAGCCAGGACTATGGAGACAAACCTTGTCTCAAAAAAAATTGCTGATGTTGAGCAGGGCATAGTATCTCATACCTAAAATCCTAACACTTGGGAGGCTGAAGCCAGAGGATCACAGTGAGTTCAAGACTACAATAAGCTACACAGTGCTATCTCAAAAAGAAAAAGACAATAGTCACAAAAAAACTGAAACAACAAAAAGACATGAGAATAAGACGCGGGCTTGTGGAGAAGAAGGCTTTCACTAAGAATGCGAGGGGAGAGGGTGTTAAAGGGTGAAAATGACCAAATTTCATTCTATACATGTATGAGGTTGTCAAAAGAATAATAAAAATTACTTTTAATTAGAAACAAAAGGATTATTAAATTTTAAAATTAAAAAAAATGGTGTGTGTGTGTGTGATGCAGGGGTCAGAAGACAACTGTGGAAGTTGATTTGCTCTTTCCACTATGTGGGCTGAAGAGAAGGAATTCGACCCAGCTCAACCCGATTCCCGAGTTTTCAAATCTCTTTTCTTTACATTTTGTATTTGAGAAAACAGGCTTACTTACAACTCCATGTCTTGCACCTTCTAAATTTCACTTTTTAAAAATTTTATTTTTATTTTATATGCATTGGTGTTTTTCCTGCATGTATATTTGTGAGAGGGTGTCAAATCTTGGAATTACAGGCAGTTGTGAGATGCCTGTGGGTGCTGGGAATTGAACCCAGATCCTCTGGAAGAACAGCAAGCATTCTTAACTACTAAGAATAAGCCATCTTTCACTTTTAACTGAAAATAAACAAAATGAGAAACTGAAGTCATCTTAACGCCCACATTAACATATACTTCATATCCAGGTAAAAGAATAACTCATTTTTAAACCCAAAATTGGTTATAGCACATGTCTGCCACCTTCCCCACACAATATTGGGAAGGCAAAGCTCCCCTGGTTCTTGCTTACCACTTTGACCTAACTATGTTCCGGACAAAACACAGAAACACTTTCTGCCCCCAGAATTGCTGCTGAATGACATTTAATTAAGTACAGAAACGTGTGAGTGCCACAGGCTGCCTCTAGGGGGAAAAGAAAAGAATCCCTTTGGTTCTCTTTCATGAAGTAAACATTTTCCAATTCCCTTTGAATCTTCATAGCCCGTATCTAGGGAACAGGGTGGTGGTTTCTTCAGATAATTCTTTCATCTTAAGTATAATTACTTCAGAGGCTTTAAAAAGAAAAGGAAAGTATTAGTTACATCAAAAAGTAATAATAAGCACCTTTAAAATCATCGCTGTTAATCTTTACAGCATTTTAGCTTGAGACCACCCCACTTATGACGACAGTAGCCTCAGATAAACAGAAAAATCAACAGAGAGCTCAAAGAGCTCCTAGTAGAGTGATACAACTCCTTGTAGTTCCTTTTTAGTTTGGTAATTCTGGAAACTGAACTTGGGCCCCAGGCAAAGCAGTCAAGTGCGCTATCACTGAGCAACAGGCCCAGGTGAACAGAGCACTGAACTCTTGACAAGTTGTCCAAAAGTTATTGTTCCAACTAAATACTAGCATACCCAACCCAAGGCCTGCCATAACCTTTAGCGTCATTCCAAGTGGCACCTGGCTCCAAGTATAAACTTAATAACACTATCCATGATGCTGTTATCTCTTATAAAATATAGTAACAGAGGAAATAAGCTGCCCTTGAACATCAATCCTGTCTCTAGCCTCTTCTTGCAAAGATACAACACTACCTTAAATTTTTTATTTCTTGGACTTATTTATTTATTTATTTATGTTTGAGTGTTTTGCCTACATGCATGTATGTACACTGCATGTGTGCCTGGTGCTCTCAGAAGTCAGAAGTGGGCATCAGATCCCCTGGAACCAGAGTCACAGATGGTTGTAAACTCCATTACGGGTTCTGTGAACTGAACCCAGGCAGCCTATAAGAGCCATAAGTACTCTTAACTACTGACTCATCTCTCCAGACTCAATCATATTTTATTTTATACAAAACCAAGAGAATATGCTCTGCTATGAGTGGCCTACAACACATTTAGTAAGATGGTCTTTAGCTTTATTTTGTTGAACTTTATTTTTTTAAACTTTTAAAAGATTTATTTCATTTTATGTGCTGAGGGTTTGCTTGTATGTGTATTTGTTCACCATGCACATGCCTGATGCCCACAGAGGCCAGAAGAAGACACCAGATGGCATGGAATTGGAGAATAGTCTTGATAGTCATAGATAGGCACAAGCCATGTTGTGGGTGCTGGGAATCAAACTTGGATCCTCTGACCGGCACTTTAAACAACTGAACCATCTCTCTAGCTCCCTATTTCAAATTTTAGTTTTACTAATGTGTATTGTATAAATGTGTGTGTGTGTCTGTGTGTGTGTGCGTGTGTGTGTGTGTGTGTGTGTGTGAGAGAGAGAGAGAGAGAGAGAGAGAGAGAGAGAGAGAGAAAGAGAGAGAAGCACAGTTGTGCCACAGCATGTGTGTGAAGGTCAGAGGGCACATTCCAGGAATCAGTTCTCTCCTCCTAACATGAGATCAAGTCATCAGGCTGGCATAGCAGGTGCTCTTACCTGCAAAGCCATCTCACTGCCCCAAGGTATCATTTAAAAAGAAAAGGAAGAATTAAATAACATAAAAATCAGTGATTTTAACTATGATTTGAGCTTTTCATAAATGGATAACTGTAATTTATTCAGCAAGTAGGTGGGGGGGTTGTTTTTGTTTTTAAGATAGCATCTAATATAATCAAGTCACTGTGTACCTGAGGATTATTTTGAACTGCACTGCCTGAGTGTTGGCACTATAGACATGTAACATATACACACAATTAGCAGACAGTGTTTGTAAATAAAGTTCTATTGGCACACAGCCACATCCACTTATTTCTATAGTGCCTAAGGCTGCTTTATCGTTGCAGTGATAGAATAGCTGGGCTATTAATATATATAGCCCATAGCAGAAAATACTATCTGGTGTTAACAAAGCTTTTTCTGGTCAACTTCCAAAATAGACTATTACAGTTCTAACCAATAATTTATAGGTACTGATATGGTCATTCCTGGCCCCAGACACATGCCCTCTCTCCCAAATACTGTCTCTTGATAGCACTGAGGCTAAATCTGGTCTGAGAAGGACCCTGCAAACCAAGTCCTGTAATGCTGCCATCTCTATCAAGATGCCAGCTTGCTGTAAGACAAACAAATGATTCGCCAAAATGCTTTCTTACCTTCAGGTGGCCCCTGTCATTCTGAAGCATAAAGAGCTTCAGTTGATTTCCAGTTCAGCTAGCTTTGCCTCTGAAAAGCTGTCGTCGCTGACATCACTGTAGGCATCACTATAACAGAGAAAAATTACTCAGCAAGATGTTAAAAAAGCCACAAGTAATTAGTCAAGTTGTAGCTCCAAACCTGTTCCATAGTGAAGACCCATGTAGAAGAAATACTAAGTGATATTCTATGATCATTCTGTAGTCTAACCACATGCACTGGTCCTTCTTTGCTCAGAGCAGCTGATTACTTGCCTTCATCACAAGTCCTAAGTTAGTTCTTCGGAAACTTAAGGAAAGCGTTTCAAGGGTTGAAATGTAGAAAGCACAGACTACAGATCAGCTGTCCGTTTCCACAAAGCCTTGACTGCTCAGCTGCCTGCCCCTGTGCCTGGGGCTTGCTTTCTACTCAAGTTCTATCAACAATCTGATTTTGTATGAAAGACTGAAGCCAGGAGTGGTGGCTCACAGTTGTAATCCCAGAATTTATGAGGCTGAGGCAGGAGGATTGCCAAAGAGTTCCAGGCCAACCGAGGCTATTGTAAACTTCTGTCTCAAAAGAAGTCATGAGAGCTGCAGGATGGATGCAGCTGAGATGATCGTAGGCAGAGAACTAACCCAGACTCAGAAAGACAATGTTTATGTTTTAGCATTTTGTACTTCCTATTATTTTACAGAAAATACAAAAATAATGCACATATATATGACATTAAGTAAAACTGTCTAGGGGGGTGAAGATGACTAATGGGAGGGAGGAGAAAAGAAAGGCAAGTGAGGATACCAAGAGGAATACTTTCAGTATTTGATACATACTGACATATACTTCTAGGGTAACCTTAAATTTTTGTTTAATTTTAGATATTTTGTAAAGAAGGAGGGCCACCAATATGGCTCAGCTGGTTAAAGCACTTTGTGTAGAGCCTTAAGATCTGAATCCAACACCCGGATCCCAAAAGTTGTCCTTTGACCTCCACTGTCCTCACTGTGGCAGACACGTATGCAAATACATCACATGTACGCACACACACACACACACACACGAAGACATTTTTGAAAGAAGTAAGGCAAGTGGAAATGTGGTCACTATGGGCACACCTTGACGGGGCTACAGGGACTTCAGCCCCTCTTCTCCCTTTTTGCCTCCTAGCCAGCATAATGTAATCAGTTTTCTTTTACCATGAGCTTCCCACCATGGTGTTCTGCCTTATCACAGAACCAAAGCAATGCAGCCAGAAGACCATAGCTAGAACCCTCTCAAACAAAACTTTTAAGGAAAAGAAAAGCAGAATTGACAAATCCCTTCATTTTGTGCTAATCTAGATGAGAGACTCAATCTATCTGAGGTTGAGTAACATGTTGTCCTGCACCTACTGAAGACAATTTGTTCACAAGTGCACAAGCTATTAGTTCAATACTGGAGGTTTTTCACTTTTTATCCCTCTGACAACAATCATTATACTTTTTTGTTTTTTTATTTTTTTTATTATTCAATTAAAAATTTCCACCTCCTCCCATTTCCCTCCTGCTCCACCAACAATCATTTTCTTTAACAATGAGAGGGTCTAGGACACACTACTCCAAAATATGGCACCTTGGCATAGTGAACATTTTAAAGTAAAGGAATCTGAGTTGGTATGACAGGGCAAGACAGTGCAGGGGTTCCTCCACCCCACACTTTTCATGAGACCATTTGGGGCTTGACTAGGATTTTATCTCCTTGATGGCAAATCCCATGGGAAATTACCTGAATCTATTGTAGGAAGCCAACGCCAAGATACCCAGTTAATTTATCCTGGCTCCTGTTAAACAGCCGCCTGCTCATGCAAACCTCTCCCTCCATATCTTCTCGTCTTAGTTTTTCTTAAGCTGCTTGCTTGTGCAAAACCTCCCCCTACAGCTGCTGAGCAAGATAACCAGATGTGGGTTTTGCTTCCAAAAGCCACTTGCTCTAAAATCTCTGGGCCAAAGTTGGGTCCTGAATACCAGAGAGTAGTCCCAGAAGCTGGAATAAAGACTTTGACTAGGCTATTAACTGTGTCTGAGTGGTCTTCTCTGGTGGGCCCCCCATAACGAAAGTATACACAGGAAGGTCTCTTGAACTTCCATCTGCCCTTCTGCCCTAAAACAGGCACTTTGACCCTCCCTGAAGCAGATCTTCAGACCCTGAAGTGAAAGAAGTAAAAAAAAAAAAAAAGCAACCGAACAAGTCAGCTTTGCTAAGTTCTCCCAGTTTTTTGTCACGATATCACATCCTCTTTGTCCACTTATATTTCCTCATGTTTCTCCTGCTGTTCATCAGCTATGCTATAACAGAAAACACTAAAGAGGTCAGGGAGATAACTCAGCAGATAAAGTACTGGCTGTGCAAGCCTGAATACCCGCATTCAATCTCCAGAAGCCACCACATGAAAACTGAATGGAGCGAAACAACTCCATAAAGTTGTCCTCTGACATACACACACAGGGAGAAAGAGAGAGGGTGGAGAGAGTGATGGAAGGAGAGAGAAATGAGGAAGATGGGGAGAGAGGGGAGATGGAGGGAAACAGTGAGACAGAAGGAGAACAAACTAAGGTTTCCCTGGGTCTTCATTTCCTGATAAAGACTGTCGTGCTTCATGCCTGAGCCATCCCTGACTTTGGCCAGGCATTTGCTCACCCAAATAGCAATAAAAGTCTGTATTCCTTAACAGGTGAAATTTCACTTTTGTTCTTTTAAAAGAAACAGGGAAAGTGCTGGAGAAGGTCTATGCAGACAGACTAGAAAACTCTCCTAGGCTACACTCACAGAGTGACTACCGATAAGCAGACAGAACACATCATCCACGTCTCCCTTTGTTTAGCCGCTCTCCTTCTGGACTTTCCGCAGGGGCATGGGAGCAGCAGACCAGAGAAAACAGGTAGTAAAAGGTTAAGAATTGGTCAGAGATGGAATATATGTTAGCTGAAGATATAAAAAACCACATATCCTTGTTATTATTAAAGTCAAATAACACCTCCCAGGTGCACTCTTTTTTTACAGTTATAATATTTATATGTACTTTAGCTTTTATCATGACTAAGGAAAATGTAACTAGAACTATAAATTTTTTAACTACATCGAAGACTCCAGAAGGATATAATATTACCTAAGTAAACAGAAATTAAAAAAAAAAGAACTTAGGACTTTTCATTACATGAGACATATCTGCTCCTGGCAGCACCAGTCTACTTCAAGAGGAATGGGCATTGAATAGGCTCCTTATGGAGTTGGTTACCCATTTGGGCAAGAAACTGCTCTTGCCTGAACTTCTTGATGAACTGGGTATGCAGGCTCCACAGAGAAATGACTGCTGAACTTGCCTAAAGTTGAGAAGGTCCTTTGCAGTTCCTGCTTCAGAAAAGAGTCTGCTAGACATTCTGCAGGACACAGAAGAATGTTACTGACAAACTACCAATTTAGGTGGAACTGCCTTTGAAATTTCCTGCTTCATGGAAAACTCTGCCGGATACCATGGCCTGTAGGCTGAAGGTGGATGCCCCAAGGGTACAGAAGAACTTTGGGTGACTGTCCAGGCAGTGAGATGCCTCTGTCATTTCTAGAGCTTTGGATGTTGCTTACAATCTACTTTCTGTTTACCCAGTTGCACTCTTTAGCTAGGGAAAAGCACCCGTACTGCTGTATAAAATGACTGAAGCTTGTTTTAGTAGTTGGTTTGTTTGGTTTTTTTTTTTTTAAGATTGACCCAAGGGCTGGAGATTTAGCTCTGTTGAAAGAGTGCTTGCCTCCAATCCCTAGCCCTGCAAAAACTGGGCATGGGAGTCCCTGCCTGTTATCTCAGTACTCACAATGCTGGGAAAGGAAGATGGATGATAAATTTGAAGCCAGCCTAGACTCCGGAGTGAATTCCAAGATATTGTAGGCTTCTGAGTGAAAGCCTATCTCAAACTTAACTAACTAATTAATTAAAAATCCAAACAACTACATCTTCATCAGAGATTAGTCAGAGATGTATAAATCTGGTCTGAAAATTACATAAAAATAAGCTTTTGCTATTCATGAAGGTTACATGTTCCTATGACATGCTCTCAAAACTTAGGGAAATATAGAGTCAGGAAAAACCATTAAATTCGGAAAATTTAAGTTTCCGAATTATTTACTAAAAATAATTTTTAAATTAATTTAAAAAACAAAAATTAATGTAAGAATGAATTATTTCCTGTACCAGGCAGAATTCCCCACCAGAGCCCTCAGATGGTTCGACTCTAACCCACCAGCTCTCATTTTCTACCTGAAGGTTGTCTTCACCGAGCTGTCAGTGCATTAGAATGGAACCACCTGAGTCAAGCAAATTGAGGCTCAGCTTGAATTTATTCATCGCTAAGGTTAAAAATATTTCCAAAGCGTTCTGAGACTAGGTAGAACAATAAACCATGACAATCAAGAACAGAATTTTCAGACTAGGTGTTCCTGCTAAACTTGCTGATTTAAAGCATTCATCTGGAAGCAAAAAACAAGTGATAGAAATAAAATGTGGGTCACCAAACAAACATAAAACAACACCAGTTTCTGCAACAGACTAGAAAATGTGGTTGCCACTCTGGGACCTATAGGGTTTAAGGGATCATTTTTATTTCACACAAAACAAATTCAAAAGTCAGTCATAAGCTAGATATGCACATAGACAGGCATATTCCACTAAAACTATCACAGCTCCATTTTAAAATAACCCATCTTTTTAAATAATCTACAGACACACACACACACACTAGGATCTTTTGTTGTTGTTAACAGAAAATGATTCTGCAATGTCGTCCACACAGCCTCAAACTCACAATCCTCCTGCCTCATCTTTGTGCATATGGAATTAAAGACCAGCACTATGCTTAGGTAAATACTAGAGGTTTTCATGTTAAATTCTAATAAGTGTCACAAAACAGACACATATAGCTCTTGTTACATTTTAGGAAGGCACAGTTTTAAAATTATTCAATATAAGTACAAGTAACCATGGCTATTTACATTTAAAACAATTAAGAGTGAAATGGAATTTAAAATTTCATTCCTTACTTATACTAGCACTTTGCCATTT